TTGGCCGCCTCCACCGCCGGCAGGTCCTGCCCGAAGTTGTCCTGCGCCGGCACAAAGCACCGCGGTGAGGGTCAGGCATGGCATCCCAGCTCCCAGGGTGGGTGTCCCCAGCCCCACCTGTGCCACCAGCCGCTGGTTCTCGTTCAGCCAGGCCTCCCGCATGGCGGCGCCGCGCCAGCTGCTCCAGCTTCTCCTGCCGGATGAGCTCGTTGCGCAGCGCCAGCTCCCGCTCGTGCTCCGCTTTCTCCAGCTGCTCCCAGGCCTGGGGGAAGGTGACACAGGATGGAGGTGGCACCCACGGTCCCATGTCCACCCACCCGCCCGTGTCTTGTTCTGCTGGTGAACCTCAATGTGCCCCATGGGCTGGAGGAACCCAACCTGCCCTGGGATGGACCTGACTTGCCCCAGGATGGACTTGATGTGTCCCGGGATGGTCTTGAGCTGCTTTCAGAGATGGACCCAACCTACCCTTAGACCCAGGATAGACCTGAACTGCCCCAGGAGATAGACCCAAACTGCACTAGGACCTGAACTGCCCCCGGTAGATGGACCCAACCCACGCCAAGGAGACAGACCCAACCCATGCCAAGGAGATGGACCCAACCCACGCCAAAGAGATGGACCAACCCATGCCAAGGAGATGGACCCAACCCACGCCAAGGAGATGGACCAACCCACGCCAAGGAGATGGACCCAACCCACGCCAAGGAGATGGACCTGACTTGCTCTAGAACAGACCCAATCTGCCCTGGGACAGACTTGAACTGCCCCAGGAGATGGACCTAACTTGCCCTGAGATGGATCTGAGCTGCCCCAGGAGGTCCCTGACCTGCCCTGGGACAACCTGAGGAGCAAAGCCCCTGGTGACACTGGGGGAAGAGCTGCCCCCAGGTCACAGGGTGCCGTGGGAGCAGTCCCGTGTCCCCACGGCACACAGCCAGGCTGTCAGGACGAGCCCCATACCCGGTTGATGTCGGAGACCAGGCGCCCTTCATGCGGGGTGTAGACGCGCTGGTTGTTGGCTCGCATCCGCGACTGGATGGTGAAGAGCAGCACCTCCAGGTTGCCCTTCTCCTGAAACCTGCCCCGGAGAGAGCTCAGCCTGGGGCACCCATGGGTGCTCCCCACCACTGTATGGGCACAGGGGGCTCAGGGGGCACTTACTTGGGGGGCTTCTCCACGGTGCGGTAGGTGCTGAAGGCTTGGAGCTGGTGCTGCACGCCCGCCAGCGAGTTGGCGAAGCTGCGGCTGTTGAGGGAGGCGATGGTCTGCTCAATCCAGGTCAGCAGGTCAGACGCCAGCCCCCCGTAGCCATCGATCATCCTCTCTGTCTCCTTGGCATGCTCGATGACCTGCGGTGGGGCCAGCGGTGAGCTCCGGGTGCCGGCACGCCGGCAGAACCCCCCCAACCCCAACGGTGGTCCCTACCTTGCCCAAACGCCTGCCCTCCACCTCCAGCACCTTCATCTTGGCGAAGTAGTGGTAGAAGGCCACCACAGGTGATGATGGACTTCTCATCGGGGTTCTCCGTGAACACATCTGCCCAACGTGAGTGAGAGGTGTCAGTCCTGACCCAGCCTCCACAGCACCCCAGTGTCACCCCATGGTTCTCATCAGGTCTCCCCTTCCCCCTCACCCAGACCCCCCTTGGATGGGGTGGAAACCTCTCTGTCCCTCCATGGGGCCTGAGAATGTCCCAGGGTGTAATGGGGAAACTGAGGCAGGACGGTTGGCAGCGGCAGCCTCACCTTCAGGGTCGAGGAGCGGGGTGATGCCCAGGTGCCGCTCCGCCACGCTGAACGCGTGCTCCAGGTTGTGCCGGGCGTTGGATTTGGTCAGGTTTTGGAAGTCAACGAGCTCAGGTCTGGGGATAGAGGGCGTGGGACAGTGGTGATGCACCCACGGGATGTCCCCTGGTGCCACCACTGCTCCAGCACATCCCAGTGCCCACCACCATGGTGCCTACCTGTGCCTGTGGATGAGGGCGTTGAAGGCCAGCCCGTCCTTCCAGCTCGAGGTGAAGTTGGTGACGTTGACATGGGGATACCTGTGATGGGGACAGGGCGTCACTGTCACCCTCCGGGCACCCCTGGTCCCCAACACGGTGTGGTGTGGGTCCCACCACCTACCCCGCTGTCTTCATCTGGCACCAGAGCAGCAGTGCGTCCCTGGCAGAGCGCGTCTCCCGGCCCTCCTGCGTCTGCACGATGATGTCCTGGATCTGGGGACAGAAGGACATCCCAGGGTTGGAAGAGGACATCCACGGAGGAGAGCTCCCACTTGGGAACAAGCCGTGGGGTGCTGAGCTGAGGGGTGCCCCCCACCTGGAAGCGGAGGATGATGGTCCAGATGAGGCCCAGGACGAGGCGGTGGTTGCCATCCACGATGTCGTGGGAGCCCATGTTCTCCAGGTGCACCCGCTGCTCCTTCAGGAACTGCAGCGCCTTGTCCACGTTCTCCAGGCAGTGGATCCGCATCCGGCCCTTCGTGGGCTTGGGCTGGGGCACAACAGCGCTCAGCACCCACCCCTCCATGCCAGGCACCCCAACCCCTGCCCGGGGACACCCCCTGTGCCCCTGGTGCCAACCAAACCCTGGTGGAACCTTGGTCAATGCCAAGGTCAACAACCTTGGTGGAGAGTACCATGGCCAACAGCCTTGGTAGAGAATGCCAAGGTCAACAGCCTTGGTCAACAACAAGGTCAACAGACTTGGTGGAGAAGGTCAAGGTCAAGAGCGTTGGTCAATGCCAAGGTCAACAGCCTTGGTGGAGCACCAGAGCTGGTGGGATGGGACATGGCATGGCGTGACAAGGCATGACAAGGGTCCCAGGGTCTCCAGCTGGATGGGAGTCCTACCAGAAGCTCTCCTGACAGCACCTCCAGCAGCTTGATGAGCACCCGCCCGTCCCGGAGGAGATCTGAGATGCGGCAGGGGACGCGAGCCAAGTGTGAATTCACCCACTTGGTGAAGGTTTTCTTCTGAACGGCCTCGCGTTCATCTGCAACGAGAGCGGACACGGTGCCACCAGCGGTGGGGACAACCCAGGAGGACCCAAGGAGACCCGAGACCCATCCTGACCTGCCAGGGCTTTGATGCGGGAGCGCTCGAAGATCCGCGCCGAGCTGTTGTCGTTGTCCAGCTCATCGTCGGAGGCATCCCAGCGGATGTTGATGCGGCTGTACTGCTGCTGCAGCTCCAGCTG